CAAGCTTGCAATTACTTTTATACATATTAAGCTTGTGTAGTTGCTCTTGTAATTAGATAGCTTGTGTAGCTTGCTAATTACCTTCTTGCTTGTGTAGCGTAGAAGTAGCTCCCTTACGTGGCTAATTTGGTTTTAGTAACCTTGTTAGTCACATTGCTTAGTTTGTGTAGCTAAGTTCTTGCGCTCTCTAATTAGGCATTGGTTGCCTTGTTATTGAGCATTGCTAGTGAGCTTAGGTGGCTTTGTGCTTTTGCTTACTAGCATGTGTAGGAGCTCTCTTGTCGCTTAAAGTACTAGTGGCATAGGTTTGTGTGACCTTGCTCCTAGAATTGCTTAGGTGAGCTCTAGCTAGCTCAGCACCTTAATTGCTTAATTAGTATATTTGAAAGGTGCTAAAGAACATAGATAAAGGGGTGTAGTCTTGGCTAGACCGATAGTTTTAATTCCGCATTTATATCGGTTAGCCGACGCGATTGAGTTTTAGAAAGGACTATTCACCTCTCCTCTAGTCGCCATCTCGACCCTTTCAACCATCTACCATCGCAGTCGGCCTATCGTCCTGCTGACCCTGTCGGCAAGAAGCTGCTGATTTTGTGTATTCGGGCGCCTTCACTGACGCTTCAGACCCGCGCCCTCCTCCACGGCTTCGATCACGTCCACCTCGACCTCGGCTACTTCGGCACTAAGGGGCTACCATCTGCTTGACAAGCCTCTTCAGCTCCCATTCCAGCCACAACATCTGCGGCACATCGACGGTTGCGACTGCGGGGGGATGTCATCTCTTCGGCTTATTCTCGAGTCTCATCGTCTGCGTGCTCCTGTTGTGACTGCGGGGGGATGTTAGAGTATATTAGGCAACTCCAGATATGGTTAGTTTAGGATTTATTGTAATCCTGGGATAACCTTCCTTATCTCTAGGAGAGGCTACTTGCCCTCCAAGCCATGTACTCCTATATAATCAGCCCAAGGGGCTCAAGCAATACATCCACGCATTATACACCAATCTTACATTCCCGAGCCATCTATTCTTACATGGTATCATGAGTCTAGGTTCTAACCCTAGGCTTCCGGCTTCCGCTGCCCTCGCACCGCCCCCGGGGAGATCGATTTCCACCGGGGGCAGCGCCCTCGTAGGATGCGCGACTGATCCTTCTGATCCGCTGCGCCGTCGTGGTCAACCAACAACAGCAGGACCTACCTCTCCCATCGCTGCCAGGATCCGCCGCGAGTGCCGCCGTCTTCGCCGCCCCTGTCGAGCGTCTGGCCTTGCGCCCCCATCTACTCCTCCAGCGCCGCCGCCACCGCTGCCCTTGAGCACAATCCTGCTGCACTTGAGCGCGAGTGCGCGCCTGCGGAGAATCGTAGGGGCGCTGAGCCGACCGCCGTGCCACTGGGGGCGTCCGACGGCCGCGCAACGCCCCTCCCTCGCCGGTCCAGCCCCTCCATCGCGCTGCTCCTCCGCCACGTTGGCGGGTTGCCGCGCCGTGGGGGCTTCGCCCCATCTCGCTGCCCCCCTGCTGCTCGGCCGCTGGACGGCCGGTTCCTCCTGTCCCTGATTTCTATTCCCCTTTGTCCGTGTTGACCTGGGAAGAGATAAGGGAGGGGATGGGGCACTGCTAGGGGCATCCGGGATTGTACCCCAAGGTTCGTCTTGCTGCTGCTGCTGTTTTTTTCTTTTTCCCGATCAGAGATCGGGTTGCGTCGCCTTGCCGTTCGTCATCGCCGAAGACGAGGTTGTCGTTGTGCCCTTCATGCTGCTGCGGCAATGCTCATGATCCAGCCATCCTCGCCGGCGACGCCGCCTTTTCAGGCGGTGGCGCCACCCATGCTGCTGGTCCTCGTCATGCTGGCTCTCAATCCGAGTCTGCGCCTATTACCGCACGCTCGCGGACACCGCCGCCGATATTGTTGAAGGAAGATGCAGTTGCGCTCTTTAGCTGCACCATTGAAAGGTCCTTGTTTGGTTTTGGTAATTGAGTGACAACCTAGGTGAACTAATTGTGTTTATGTGAGATACACAGGTAATTAGTCCATAGATACATGTGTGTGAGCAACATATGCCATGAAGGTGAAAATGGCTTAGAGATATTGCAAAGCTCACACATGTGATGATGAAGGAGCTTAACGCACAGTAGACATGACATTGAGTCATGTGATCAAGGTGGAGAAGATCAAGACAAGACTTGGCTTGATGGACCGGTTGCAAGCGTGAAGGGCAAGTCGAAGGCTTTGGAGTGATGGACCGCGTGGCGGTGAAGCTTGAGCAAGACTTGGCACCGATGGACGATGGCAACGGTGAAGGGCAAGTGAAGTCAAGATCGATGAACCAATATGATCACGTGATGATATGAAGTGGATCATATCATTGTTGATCGTGTCGGTGCATGTGTTGCATCGACGTTGGAGGAGATGGAATGGAATGCGCAAGGCAAAGGTATAACCTAGGATATTTCATTTCACTGGTCATAGGTGTGTAGAGAAGTTTATGACCGGGTTTAGGATAGATGGCCGTACTATCAAGAGGAGCAAACTTGTTTGCATATCGGTCATCTAGTGCCACTCGAGTGATCTAACTTTGCATCGTCGCTAGGATCGAGTGGCGTGGCAAGTTGAGTGGCTAACATCCTTTGGGAAATGATTGTGAAAAGCTAACACACACACACATGGTGGTGTACACTTGGTGGTGTTGGCACATTTACAAAGGAGGTGGTGTTTGCAGGGTTGAGATGGGTTTGGGTCCCTCTCTCCCTCCTGCCGAGCTTGCTCGGCGGGATTCGGCGCTTTCGGGAAAATGGAATGCCTATTTTCTATTGCGCCGGATGCAAATTCTTGTGGTTGGCACATTGGAGCAAGGGTGAAGAAGTTAGAAGTGAAAACGAGTTGATCGCGAAGATGCTGGCGTCGGTAAACTGACCGGACGCTGGGTCTGAAAGCACCGGACGCTGGCAGGGTGCGTCCGGTCAGGCTGACGTACGGTGACGCAGAAGCTGGTGTGTGACCGGACGTTGGGCTGTGTCCGATCATGTGCGACCGGACGCGTCCGGTCGAAGAAATACGCCTCGGGGAGCTTACTGGAAACGACCGGACGTTGGGGCTTCAGCGTCCGGTCAGTTTTACCGCTACGTCCGGTCAGGTCAAGTGACCGTTGGGATCGGGACGCGTGGCCGTCTGCGGACGACCGGACGCTGAGGTCCAGCGTCCGGTCAACTCGACCAGAGTGTCCAATCAGCCCGACTTTTGCCCAGTGAAGGGGTAACGGCTAGTTTAGCCCTTGGGGCTATAAATAGAAGTGGCCCTTGGCCATGGCTAGGTAAGAGCACCTAAGGGGACTTAGTGTCCATGCTTGTGAGTGCTTGGGAGCCCTCCATCACACATATACTTGATAGTGATCATTCGATTGTGTGAGTGAGCGATTCTAGTGCGATTGCATCGTGAGGTTGCATCGAGTGGCACTAGGTGATCGAGTTGCAAGCCGGTGGTGCTTGTTACTCTTGGAGGTTGCCACCTCCTAGACGGCTTGGTGGTGGTCTCCGTCAAGCCCGCAAGAAGCTTGTGCGGGCGCTCCCAAGAAGTGCTTGTGAGGGGCATTGTGCTCAGCCATGGGAGAAGCATGAAAGAGCAACTTTAGTAAAGCGTGTCATTGAGCTACCCTCACTCAAGGGGTAGGTTCTTGCGGCGCCCGACGTGCGGGCTTAGCGGGTGATGCTAATTAGCCGAACCACCAAGTGAGCAAATCGACACAAGCGGGACTAGCGTGTTGGCAAACACGTGAACCTCGGGAGAAAAATCGTCATGTCAACCTTGTTCCTCCCGTTGGTTTGCATCCCCATTACACAAGCTTGCAATTACTTTTATACATATTAAGCTTGTGTAGTTGCTCTTGTAATTAGATAGCTTGTGTAGCTTGCTAATTACCTTCTTGCTTGTGTAGCGTAGAAGTAGCTCCCTTACGTGGCTAATTTGGTTTTAGTAACCTTGTTAGTCACATTGCTTAGTTTGTGTAGCTAAGTTCTTGCGCTCTCTAATTAGGCATTGGTTGCCTTGTTATTGAGCATTGCTAGTGAGCTTAGGTGGCTTTGTGCTTTTGCTTACTAGCATGTGTAGGAGCTCTCTTGTCGCTTAAAGTACTAGTGGCATAGATTTGTGTGACCTTGCTCCTAGAATTGCTTAGGTGAGCTCTAGCTAGCCCGGCACCTTAATTGCTTAATTAGTATATTTGAAAGGTGCTAAAGAACATAGATAGAGGGGTGTAGTTTTGGCTAGACCGATAGTTTTAATTCCGCATTTATATCGGTTAGCCGACGCGATTGAGTTTTAGAAAGGACTATTCACCCCCCCCCCCTCTAGTCGCCATCTCGACCCTTTCAACCATCTACCATCGCAGTCGGCCTATCGTCCTGCTGACCCTGTCGGCAAGAAGCTGCTAATTTTGTGTATTCGGGCGCCTTCGCTGACGCTTCAGACCCGCGTCCTCCTCCACGGCTTCGATCACGTCCACCTCGACCTCAGCTACTTCGGCACTAAGGGGCTACCATCTGCTTGACAAGCCTCTTCAGCTCCCATTCCAGCCACAACATCTGCGGCACATCGACGGTTGCGACTGCGGGGGGATGTCATCTCTTCGGCTTATTCTCGAGTCTCATCGTCTGCGTGCTCCTGTTGTGACTGCGGGGGGATGTTAGAGTATATTAGGCAACTCCAGATATGGCTAGTTTAGGATTGATTGTAATCCTGGGATAACCTTCCTTATCTCTAGGAGAGGCTACTTGCCTTCCAAGCCATGTACTCCTATATAATCAGCCCAAGAGGCTTAAGCAATACATCCACGCATTATACACCAATCTTACATTCCCAAGCCATCTATTCTTACACGAGCTAATGGCAAGAGTCTCAAGATTTGGCATACTGGATGGCAGCTCGGTGCGCGCGTAACAAACAAGGTTTGCACGCTGCAAACTCAGTTTCTTCATTTGCAATGTTTCTCCAAGTGAGAGTTTTTTTTACACCGACACCTTAAGGATGAAACGGATGAGGTATCGAGCTTTGCTCTCTATCACTGGCAAATTCCAGCAATCAGAAACCTCCAGGCAGTAGAGCTGCTGTAGCACAGAAGGTATCTTTAGGCAGATTATTTCCTTGCAATCATGGAGTTTCAACTGCTCCAAAGCAGGAGACTTGGAAAGAAAGCACTCCAACTCGTCCCCCGAAATACGCACAGAACATAAGACCACTCTTGTTAGGTTTATAAGGGGGCCAAATCCAGCTGTGGGACGAAAGAAACAAAAGCCAAGCTGAAGATGCCGAATGGAGTTTCTAACCCCATCAGATAAAAGTGAACAAGAGATGTTGTAATTTATCTTGCCTCTATGGCATAGCTCAAGGGTGAGTTCTTCAATCCCTGGTGTAACAGCAGTCTGAAGCCAACTGTCAAGATAATGATAGGCATCAACAATACCATGTAATTCAAGCTTGAATATCTTAATGCCAATGCCTGAGTGGTTCCTCACAATGTGGTCAATTATGCAGCTGAAATTCTCTTGACATGCATTTGCTTTGGAACCAAGGACATCCCTATTCAAGGTGAGGATGGGATGACATCTCCAGAAATGTAGAAAGGCATGAGACAGGCAAGCAGCACGAGCAGCGTCACGCAATGGCAGCATGGAATGTATATGGTGCCATGTGTCCTGCATGCACAAGCACAGGGAAAAAGTTAACACCGGGATTCTAAAGCCAAATGATTACTTGATTGGAGAAACGAAAAAAAGACAAACGAGAACAACATGGAGTAACATTTTACCAAAGGTGTGTTGCATTACATAGGTAGTAAGGTAGATATTGCAGATAGATGAATGTAGGTAGGTAAACTGAACATTTGCAGTTTTTCAATTAAAATGTTACCATTGGCTTTCTCAGGGGCAAAAAGACACAAGAGCTTTACCAAAGTACTATGGAGTCTACTGAGGAGAGTAGTCAGCTATATTGGTTTCTGTCCATAATAGCATGTCATAAATAGGTAAAAATAGCAAAGAAAAGGAAATAGATATGTAACTTGTGCATATATACAATTAGTACACCTGAATACATAAAAAAGGAAGCCCATGAAATTTGAATCTAACAGTTTTGCTAGTTACAGTGTAAGCTAAACATAAACCTTGGACTTAGATGTAAGAGAGAACAGATAAAAAAGATCACATAAACAAAAAGGCATAATTAATAACATGCAATTAAATTGCTCATTTTCGTGAATTTAGGTAGAATACTAATAATATAAGTACTATAGAAGGAATCAGGAAGCCAGTGGAAAGAGTGGCCCATTTGTTCAGTTTTAACCCCAGAACGAATATGCCAATCAATGCTAACAGGAGCTTACAGCACTTCAGAAGCATAGGACTATGGCTAGGAGTGCATATTTCTGTTTTAGTCACACATGCTTGGCATGCCTTTTGATTGCTTGTGTTGGAGATCACAGGATACAGTTGTACTTTGGAGAAAATGAGCCTCTGCGAGGCTTAAGGACATTGGCCAACATAACCAGCAGCCATCTTATCACATTGTACTTCCTCTGGAAGCTAGAGATAGTTTTAAATTTTCTAGCAAGTGCATCAATACAAAGGCATCTCTGACAGTAATTTGACAGACTCTAGGATTAAGGCTGTGTTTAGTTGTAGGAATTTGGATTTTGGGGGCTCCTGTAGCACGTTCGTTTTTATTTGGCAAATAGTGTTCAAACATGGACTAATTAGGCTCAAAACGTTCGTCTCGCAATTTCCCACCAAACTGTGCAATTAGTTTTTCTTTTCGTCTACATTTAATGCTTCATGCACGAGCCACAAATATTCGATGTGACAGGTACTGTAGCAACTTTTTGAAAGTTGGGGTGGAACTAAACAAGGGCTAAAGACATGGTCCGTATGTACTTTCAGGGCAACGATGACTGCAAGATCAATATGCTTAATAAGCAGAACATGACTATTTCCAATCTGGAGGATTAAAGATTCTGGTGGATCTCCTACTGGATCCCTCTGGAAAGGCCAATACTAGCAGTTGAATATCTCCAGAGTGTGCTAAGTGGACAGCTCACAAGGTCAGAGATCATGTGTTAAGACTTATAAGAGTACATTGTATATCTTTATTAGACATTCAGGGGAAACTGTATCAAACGCATCAACAGTCATATCCCTCATCTTTGAACAAAATGCACCAACAATCCCTAACATGCCATGGTGGGGTGTCACTGGTCCAAGAAAATGCACACTGAGAATTTGAGATCCTTAAAAACAAATGTGACAGTCAGGTCCACAATACCCAACACACTACTCCGGTTGCAACGTGAGGGGTACACTAGATAATGACTTTGATGAGACTTTCAACAAGTTTAATGACCCAAATGTAATTTTCAAAGGTCCATGGACTTGGATGAGACACCATGACAAGGTTAAGGACTGTAGTTCATTTACTCTTTTTGCTTAATTCACAATCAGGCTCTGGACATTAGGAAGAGTGGTTACATGATCAAGAATTAACACATCAGCATCTTAAAAATTATAAAAAATTTGAGGGCATGCCCTTCATAGATAGAATAGTGTATGGGGTTGAGCTAGACGAGGATGGAATATAAAAGATGTGGAAAAGGCTGAACAGGTTGCATTTTTAGGGTTTGGGTAAAAATAAACAAAACAGCAGTGGATCTAGTGGACAGTAGCTAGAGCAAAGAAGAACAAGCCACTGCTAACTCAAGAGAAAATAGGATAGTAGATTTTTAGGTGAAAGTTGCAGCAGTTAAAATAAAGCCAGGCTAGTAGGATTGTAGGAACATGACCAATTGTAGCACAAGATGTACTCTATATTTGTAGATAATATTCAGCTAGCACAACTCCGCGAATTAGTAGCCCAGTTAAAGATGTCATCGTGAAATATGCTTACATCATCAGAATTTTATGCATCATACCTCTGGAAGGCCTGGAATTGAAAATTTCATCATTTTTTCAGCTTGACAGTCATCATCACCATCTTGCTTACAGGGCGAGCCCTTCCTTTTATTCACAGAAGCTATCGATCCATCTGCCACCAACAAGAATGGCTATTATAGCACATCTCAGACATGAACGGATCAGAGAAATAAAACGAACTCAAGCATGAAAGTCTTCAGTCTCTTGAAATCTCCACCCAATACCTCTGGCTCAAGGACAGGCTCGTAGTGGAGATGCAACTACAGTGAGAAATTAGAGAGTAGAAAGGACACTAGCTAATTACCTCCACTATGAGAACACACCCTTGTGCTCATAAATAAAGACTTACTCCTAAAAGAAAAGAACCCCCCCTTTTTACCGAGCAAAGCAGACAGAGGGTTAAAAGGAGCTCTTTGGAGGCCTAACCAACTAAAAGAGAAACACTAAAGTGACAATTTAAGCTCAAACATATAAAAGTTTGGTAGCCGACTCAGTCATCATTTTATATAAAACAACAAGAACAGATTAGCATACACACAACACACAACAGGTAAGAAGATGGGATTAATTTTTCATGGATTGAAGTCTGAAGAAAACAGCAACGGAACCTCGCTGCAAAAGTTGTTGATTCTGAAGCAGCTGTGCATAAAACAAGACAGAGGGCGAGCCGGTGAGGTAGGGGCCTTACTGCGGGCTCGGATTTGCCGGCGCCGCCGCCGCTGCCGGTCGCGTTGCAGGGACATGAGCCGCTGCAGCGCCAGCATCCTCATTGGTGCGGGTAGACGGTGATACCTCCAGGAGGGATGTCGAGGAGAAATCACTCCGATTCTGTTTTCAATCCTCAGATCTCTACTCCTCTCCTGTCTATCCATATACAAAAAATCTATCTCCGTAATATTATTGGCGCCGTCCCCCTCTTTCTCCTCTCTTTTTGGGTTGGCTTTGAACTCAATTTGGGTTCGAATCCCACAAGGCGCGAAAGAAATCGAAACAGAACCGCCGGGAGCTACCTTCCTTGTACGAGCGAGACTGCGAGAGGGATGGGCGACCGCGGAAATTTTTTTAAGGTCTTGTTAAGTTAGGCGAATTTTTTTAAATGGTATCGTAGCACTTTCATTGTTATTTGGTAATTAGTATTCAATCATAGTCTAATTAGGCTTAAAAGATTCGTCTCGTAAATTTCGACTAAACTGTGTAATTAATTTTATTTTTTATTTATATTTAATGCTTCATATATGCGTCTAAAAATTTGATGTGACAAAGAATTTTAAAATTTTTTATAAAATTTTAGAAACTAAACAGACACTAAGTAAATAATTGCAAACCTATATAGTGGCCACTGGGTGTTCCTATCCCTGTCGCATTCCAGGGGCCGACAAGTCCACCCACCACTGAAAACCTACAATTTCCGCTGAATCGTTCTCTGCCTCGATCCACGTCGGAAGTTACTGGAGCGTTGCCTTCTTTAATTGGTTGTAAAATGACTACTACGGTTTCAGGTATCAGAAATCCAGGAGTATATTAGTTCACATCCATACAACCATATAACTAACGATGAAAACGGATCGGATACGAACGGATATCACTGATATCACATTTATTTTCATATTTCTGTCTGGATTTGGATTCGAATACGGACAGTGTCAATCATGCCGGATAGGATACGATTAGATATCGACATCATAAATATGTGATTTGAGTATTCGAATACGGATACGGTATCAGATGTTAAATACCCGGACTCGTATACGGACAGATCTGAACCCCTCTAAATTGATTCGGTCTCGAATATAGTCGGAAAATATCCGTACTGTTTTCACCCCTACATACAACGAATCCAGGGGTACATTAGTTTATGGCTAGATATCGAGCCAGCTCGTCTCGGCTTGATCCAGCTCGAACTGGCTCGTTAGGCTAACAAGACATCTCGGCTCGGCTCGTTAATATTACGAGCTAGAGTTAATATTACGAACTAGAGGGGTAGCTCAGCTCAGCTCGACTCGTTAGCGAGCTCGAGCTGACTCGTTTAGCTCGTGAGCTATAAAAAAAATAGAACACACATGTTTATAATGTTCATCCCATAATAATTTCAGACGATGACGTCTACCATTATGCAACCATATATGATTAATACATATCAGGTTCATCAAAAGTATCAACCATGCAACATAGCTGGTCCATCTATGATCTATACAGTTTCAGCATACTTACTAGTTGCTTGCCACCACAGACTTAGAAAAGTCCACAAATTTAATGTCAGCATCATCATCTTCTCCCTGGAAAATAATCCATAAATTAACATTTAAGTACCACAACAATTATAAAATCAAAATTTATATGAAACAGCTGAAAATAAAAATTACATATCAATGGAATAGGTGTACACTTCTAGGTCAGCATCATCATCTTCTGGATTCATGGTCGTGGGCGGATAGGCATCAGCTCGTTTGAGCTCGTGAGCAGCTCACGAGCTGGCTCGAGCTGGCTCGTTAAAACAGCGAGCCAGACTTCCAGCTCCGCTCGTAAAAAAGTTAAAACGAGCCAAGCCAAGCCGGACACGAGTCAAGCGAGTTGGCGAGCCGCGAGTATTTTGTCTAGCCCTACATTAGTTCACATCCATGCAACCATACAACCATACGACTAATACAGGTCAACCGGCACGATGCCCACGTTTGACGACCTATGCTCTTTGTTTGACAGCCTGTGCTCCTCGGTGAAGTACCATGGAAATTTTAGCCGTAAACCTAAGCTTAACAACAACTAACCCTAGCCCTAACCCTACCAAACAAAAAGTAATAAATAATCTAAACCTAACCCTAGCCCTGAAAAAATAAAGTAAACTAACAAAATCAATCTAAACTAACCCTAACCACTAACCATAATAAAATAAAGTAATCTAAACTAAACTAATAAAATAAACTAACCCTAAATAACCCTAATAAACTAACCTAA